GTGTTTGGTAGTTTGGAGTGGTGTTTGAGAGTCGATTGATTGACTGGCGGAAGTCAAAATTGTGAGATATCGGTGATGGCTTCGAAAATCTTCAAGATTTGATTCTCTGCAACCAGGCAAGGGCAATACCGTAGCCAAGGCACACCTCACATGCACAGCTACGATGTGCAGTCGTACCTCCTGGTCATGCAAACTGCAAAAACTGCTCACCGCTTGCGATTCTTTAGGATGACCAAAGTCTTCTGCAGGTCTTCGGATGCCTTGGCTGCTGGGTATTGGTGTTTAAAGGGTCACAAGACAAAGAAGCCCGAAGAAAAGATGCGGAAACTGCCAAAATAAATAGTCAACTAGCTTCAACCATTAATAGCTCTTCAACAACAACAAATAATACTTCCATCAAATTTGTTAATTGTCGTGTACTCTGATTTAGTGACTGGACGACTGGACTTGCCCTTTGAACTCCAGGACATAGTCATAAGAACGCTGGCTTCACTGGCACACACTCACTTAGAAGATTCACCTTTTCCGCTTGCAAAAGAACGCCAATGACGCATTCTATTGGTTGCCACTTCATACCCCTCGACTCGACCAAGGAACACAGACAGGCAGTTCGGGCTTTGGGGCTGTTAGGCTTGGGCGAAGGCTCGATCGAGGAGGAGCAAGAGGCTTTGTTATCAACACAGGATTCGACTGGGCTGTTTCTCTGACCACTGTAGCTATTACAATAATAATGCAGCTGCTGCCACCTATCTTCTTGCTCTAGCCCCTTCTCTTCCTCCACTCTCGAACATTCGGGCAGCACTTGCAGCCAGGAAAGTGTTCACGCATGCTGGATGGTCAAACTGTAGCTGGCTAGTTGCTAGCTAGCCCCCAGTAACTGCCTTTGGTTGAGATCGTGCCTGGCTGTCCAATACGACTACAGTGTAGGCAACTGCTGTGAGTACTATTGTGGCTTGAAGGAGAGGCAGTTTTGTGGCTGCTGAAACGCAAATTAGGTAAACTTCCAGCCAGTACCGGTACCACCTTGATCAATTGCCTCTCGCCGCAGATACCGGTAGGTTCGACCACCCACGGTGACTGGGTGCTCATTTTCACGATAACTACGAGTGTTGATCAGAGAGTTGAACCACCAAAGAAGTTGAACCGCAAAGTTTGAACTAGCAGCGACACAGCCATGGAACTCAAAGAGTCAGGGAATGAAAATCACGTCATACACTTAGTAATCATGATAGATGCAAGGGTAAGCAAAGAAAGAAGCAATGACTAGCTAGAGCTATTTATATGCTTGCTGAAAACTTGTAACCACAGACCCAGTCGGGTGGGGTAAACAGTGGCTTATGACTGTTTTCCTGGGGCGTACAGCCAAGTTGAAGCATCAAGCAGAGAGATTGCAGTTAGATATTCTTGCAAACTGAGCACACCTTGATTGCACGAGCGGAAGGCATGACTGTCACTCGGGTGGTACCAGCCAGAAGTAAGCAAGCAATTAAAACATGCATTGAAACCGGGAGGTGGTTAGGAGGAACACAAGAGTGACGAGGCCGGAAGCCAGTGGAGAGAGAAAGAGGGCTGTGCCATGACTAACATTGAAGTTCATGAGGACTGCAGGGTGAAGTTGGGGCCTGCCTACTAACAGGACTGCCTCCTCGAGGACAATCGATAGAGGTGCTTGAAGTGGAGCAGAATACAGAACTACCTAAATGGATTGCTTTAGTTTCAAATCTCGCTGATTATTCCTGTCGGTGTCAAGCTTCCGCTTAGGCAGATCTACTCTGATCGGAGTCGAGTCCTTCATTGACAAAAAAAACTAAACTAGTCTAGACCTCCCAGTAGCGGAAATCTGACTCTGAGGATGCTGGGAAAGGCAGGTAGACTGATTAGACCACTGGCGGTAGAGATGTGAGAGATTGTTTGGCCATCAGCTCGTCAGGCTCGCAGGAATCGAATGGATCAATCGATTTCTCGATTTCTCCTTGAAGCCTTGAAGCAGGATGACATTGACCAGAGGTTAAAGAAGCCTAGCTACATAAGGAATCATTGAATTCAATGACCAGAGAGAATCTTTGGTTTTAATGACAAACTGAATGGACAAACCAGAGTTCGTATTATGGCAGCCGAAAATGTCCAGGCTCATTCCATGGAACAAGTACTTAAATCCCCTTTTCTTTTGAAAACGTTTCAACGAAGCCCAGCAGCAACTCGAAGTAACGTTAAAAACTTCTTGCAAACTTCCACGATGTACAAGTACATAGATAATATGTCCCGCTATGTAGCTTTTCGGAGCTGTGCTAGAAGAGTGCCACAGTATGGCTACCAGGTACCGGTATTGGACCTAGCTAGACTTGCATCCATCTTGTCAATACCGGTGGCAGCTCTTTGTGTAGATCTACACACATCCAAAGCTGTCCCACTGCAGACTGCAGTGCAAGCAGCTTGGAAGTCATCACGCTGTGCTGGGATGTACTGTATGACTAAAACAAACCAGTAGCTAGAACGGGTAGTTTCGACCAGAGTGACCTTTCAGAAAGACAGATCTTCAGCATGATGAGCTGCATGCCGCAAGTTGCAATTTATTTCTGTTCCCTCCCAGAGAGAATGTATGTCCGAAAGAATGTAGGAAAGAAAGAGACTGGCAGCTCCAAGATCGATATCTGGACACACGAGGAGGAGGAAAAAGATCTTCAACAATCACTCTCAGGTCTCAGGTGAGAGAGCTGACCTTACTCAGTAGCTACATCGTACCGGTACCGGTACCGGTACTCAGTACAGATCTAGCCAGTCTAGGTTCTCCAACTGGACATTCATTTACCTGGGAACACTATAGTGGAGCTACTGGAGTAGGCAAATGCTCCTCCTTTCGTCTTCTTTCATCGCAAGGCTGGCATTGTGGCTCTCACTGATCGTGCAAACGGTTGGGTCATTCTGCTTTGGATCTTGCGACGAAGCTCCAGCATTCACGGAAATCAAACTCACCTCATCAAATAAATAGTCATCACAATTTTTAGGAAGCAAAGCCATCAAAGGTTCACCCAGCATAATCACCAGCAATATTTCAGGACAAACATCAGCAACCATGAGTTTGGAAATGGACTACGAGACAATCTTTCATGTCATGGATTCATGGGAGCTCTTGCGCAGGTAAGCAAATGGAAGTGGCTTGGTGGCAGCGCACAACGCACAACGCACAAATTCACCGAACGTTCGTTCTCATTCGCTCATGGTTTCTTTCCATTTCCCCCTTCCCTGTAGGATCCCGGACCATGAGCAAATTGCGGGCACCATCCTTTTTACGCAGTAAGTGTCTAATGGGCACCATTCCTTTTGATCATCCAGCCACCTTGGATAGGAACATCTCACCTCTTTTGTGGCTCTGCTTTTGCTCTTTCCTGTATCTCCTCTCCAGCCTCTTTCAAAAATGCCCCGAGACCAAGGTTTTGTTTGGCTTTCCTTTGGATATGGACCCCGGCAGTGAAAAGATGCAACAGTCCAAGCCCTTTGTCAGGCACGCTTCCAACGTACGTTACTAGCTAGTGTCGATTCCCCACCATCACTCCTGGATTGCAAGCAGCTTACATCACCGTCCCCATGTTGTCCATTGACGCCTCCTTTACTGCCTCGCTGCTCCCAACAGATGATTTCAATGCTTGATAGGGTGAGTGCATTCATTTTGATGTGTCATCGCCTTTTTTGATGTATTCAGTTCACTCACTGAACGCTGTCATGATTGTTGCCATCAGGCTTTGAACATGCTTGGGCCAGACGCGGAGTTGCTTGCTGAAATCTTGGGCGGCCGTAAGTGCATGCCTGATGAACCACCTTTTGCACGGTGTTGATTTTGGTCAGTTTCTAACATTCTATGGTGTTTTTGCCCATCCATCCACAGTGGGAAAGAAGCATGCTCGAATGGGAGTCCACGAAACTCACTTTCCTTACTTTGGAGAGTCTCTTCTCGAGATGTTGCACGAGGTATTGGGAAA